TTCCCGACTTTTGCTCGTTGAGCAGTTCAGCCTTCAGGTTCTCAACTTGTGCCCTGAGGTCAGCATTTTCTTGGGTCAAACGGATCAGCTCATCATTCGAAATGGGAACCGCTCAGGTTTACTGGCCTTCCAGGATAGCATTCCTGCCTTCAATCGACGTATTTCCTCAGCTGCACTGTTTTGGGCATTGATGAGCTGAGACATAGTTGAAGTGATTCCTACACCCCCATATTTCTCAATACACTCGCACTCTTCCAAGGTTGTCTGTGAGAATGTCTGCTTATGGGTCCCTACTTTACCTGTTCCTAGTGGAACCTCAAAGTATTTGAACACTTGTGTGAGCAAGAATCCATCGGCAAACCCGTGATTGCCATCCTTGAAATCAGCCACTTTCTGCATGTGCTCAATCATTATGGCAGGAAAACTCACAAAGCTAAAACTGTCCAATTGCTCCATTAAGAATAGATCAGATTTGGAAGTGACAGATCGCCTTTTTGCTCGAGGCAACAGAACTTTGTTAACTAGCTCAAACAACAACTGGTAGATAGGAAGTAGTGCTTTCTTATGGACCTGGTCCCCCTTCTGGTTAGAATTATCTTTCATGACTGCATTGCGGAAGTTGTATTGACAGACATCTTGTACACTAGATACCCCAACTGTAGGAACCTACAGAATTTCCCCAAGCAATTTCACGTCAAAGACAATATCCACCCCATTGACTAAGGCACACACATGGTCAGCATCAACTGGAAAGAGACTGGTGAAAAAACTCTTGACCTCCTCCTCATACACTTTAGTAGCGTCAATGTAGAATAGATGCGTCCATTACTGAAACTCCACCATTTCTAGAAGCTGACGCATCCCTGCCATCTCAGAGATTGTTGGGTTAAACATATGACCCAACAAAACCTTTTGATACCTTAGTCGCTCAGAGCCACGGTAGACGTCATTTCTGGCTTTCTTCCCAGAACTGGGTTCTTCAACTGTTTCAAACTTGCGTTTCCTATGCTTTTCTCCACTAACTTTACCTTTCCCTTGGACTTGACAAGAATATCTTCATCACTCACTCCCTCCTTTGTCTTGGACTTGGAAGTAGATCCTTTTTCCATGGAAACAGACTTAGCCTTTTTTGAGGACTGCCTTACAAGGGAACCAGGTTCCTCAGCAGTTCCTTCCTCCACCACAACTACAAGGATAGCTTCATCACTCACAGGGACACCATTCTTTACTCTTACTACTTTTCTTGCTCTTTTGGAGTGCAGAATCATAGCCTACTTTGACTTGAAGCCTGGTAGTAGGTCGTTTACTATCAGACTCAGGGGTGGTGACAACCCTGCGCTTACTTATGAATGCATCTTGGGCCACGTTGTCCAGGTCTTCTTCATCACTAGATCGTATTTATGGTACTTGAATTTCCAGAGGCACAACATTGAATGCAGGTACAACACTATCCTGGGGATGAGAGTCCTGACCTGGATCCTCCGGAGAGGGATCGGGTTCCTCATGTGATACCCCAATAGTGTATATTGTTGCATCCCATTCAACAGCCAGAAGGGCCCCTTCTACACACACGCTTTGTGACTCTTTTATCTGAGAAATAAATTTATGCAATATTCCATCCGCGGATACGACAAACACAGTCTTTTCTTCTTCAACAAGTGCTTCCACAACCATGGAGTCGATGGTAATGATGGCGGAGCCTTTTGTAAAGTCAGTATTTTCACTTTGTTTTCCATTTAGGGTTTGACTAGTGTGGGCCGCAGATGACGGAGAGGACAGAATAGTAATTTTAGGGGTTTCTGAGTTGGGAAGAGGTTGGGAAACTAGGGAAGGTGTGATTGTAGCAGTAGGAGTGATAGAGGGTGACACAGACTCAGTGAAGGAGAGAGTTTCCATGGATGGGTCGGAAGTTTTCTCAACCATTGGAAGAGGTGGTGTGATGATCCTTCTTTTCAGGTGAATCTAGAATATGGCTTATGATTAGGAAAGGCAGAAGAGAGGGGTTTTTTAAATGGAGAGGATAATTATGAAGGGAGAAGAATAGGCACCGGTTCTGAAACGACAGTTGGGTGTGGAGAATTGTGATATTTCAGAGGGAAATGGAACGTTTTGAATTGAAGGGACGTGACAGCCAGATCTGAAAAGTTGATGACATGGTAGTTGTATTTTGTGCCTTTTAAGACATGTATTAAAGGATGTACAGAACTACTAACCTTTAGTACAAGAACCTAGTTCTTTGAAAAACATTTTCTTCAAGCCCCTTTTTTTGAAAAGGATTAATCCTCTTTTATCAGCCATGTACTGCATCTACTACTTCTATGCTTATCATGCATATTTACCTGCAACGGTATTGAAGTGAGTTAGACAGGGCCAGAAAACACTTTGAACCTATTATTTCTTAATAACTCGAGCCAACTCAAAAAGGAATCAGGTTCTTAATTTGGCCTCAATAGTCCCGACTTTACTCTATTTCTTTAAAATTGTTCCCTACTTAGTACCTTGGTAAAAATGTCTGCAATTTGATCTTCGGTGGTATAGAACTTCATGCATATCAACCCTTTCTCCATATTATCTCTTAGAAAATGATGCCTCACATCAATATGTTTGGTCCTTTTATGTTGAACTGGATTCTTTGCCATGTTGAGTGCACTGGTGTTGTCACATAGGAGGGGCACACTCACAGTGAGAACTCCAAAATCCTCCAGTTGCTTCTTGATCCACAGAAGCTAAGCACAGCAGGATGCTGCAGCTACATATTCAGCTTTAGCTGTTGAAAGAGCCACTGAATTTTGCTTCCTTGTACCCCAAGAGATAAGACATGATCCTAAGAAGTGAGCCATCCCAGAAGTGCTTTTTCTATCCACAAGATAACCGCATAGTCTGCATCAACATACCCAATTAGATTAAAATTGTCACCTGATGGATAGTCTAACACCAGGTTATGCGTGCCTTTGAGATATCTCAGTATTCTTTTGGCAGCCTTCAAGTGAAATTTCTTGGGATTTGATTGAAACCTCACACACAGCCCCACACTGAAAACAATATCAGGTCGACTGGCAGTGAGATAGAGAAGAGACCCAATGATGCCTCTATACATTGTTTGATTCACAGGAGATACGGTTTCATCCATGTCCAGTCGAGTGGCAGTTGCAATGGGAGTGTCTATCACCTTTGATGCTTCCATATCGAACCTCTTCAAGAGTTCCCTGATGTATTTTTTCTGACAGATGAAAGTACCCTTTGGGGACTGTTTTACTTGAAGACCCAAGAAGAAGTTTAATTCCCCCATCATGCTCATTTCAAATTCACTTCCCATAAGTTTTGCAAATTCTTCACACAGAGAGTCCTCTGTTGCTCCAAAAATGATATCATCAACATAGACCTGAACAATGAGCAGGTTCCTTCCTCATTTCTTTAAGAAAAAAGTATTGTCAATTTTCCCTCTCTTAAAGCCATTTTCTAAGAGAAATTTTGACAATCTTTCATACCATGCTCGAGGAGCCTGCTTTAGCCCATACAAGGCTTTGTCCAATTTGAACACATATTCAGGGTGCTCATGACATTCAAGCACAGGGGGTTGATTTACATAGACTTCTTCCTTAAGTAGTCCATTAAATAATGCACTTTTGACATCCATTTGGAACAAAATGAATTCCATATGAGAAGCAAAGGCAATCAGAATTCTAATGGCTTCCATGTAATCTACTGGAGCAAAAGTTTCATCATAGTCAATCCCTTCCTCCTGATTGTAACCTTGAACCACTAGCCTGGCCTTGTTCCTTATGATAATTCCATGCTCATCAAGCTTATTTCCGAATACCCACCTGGTTCCTATAATGGTTCTATCTAGGGGTCTGGGTACCAGGTGCCAAACACTATTTCTCTCAAACTAATGCAGCTCGTCTTGCATGGCTGTAATCCAATCTGCATCTTTTAAGGCTTCCTTGATGTTCTTGGGTTCTAATTGGGAGAGAAAGGCTGGGATGGCAAGTGAATTTATAGCTCTTGACCTGGTTTGGACTCTGGAATCTAGAGGAGTGATTATGTTGTCTATGGGGTGAGAACTTTGATGTCTCCAGTTAGATGTCTGGGTTCATTCTGAGAGGAAGAAAGTATGTTTGGCTGATTTTCCTCTATCCTTCTCTCAGATGCCAGTGGAGTTCCCTGAACTGCATCAACCACTCTTTCTTCAGCTTGAGTGGTTGTAATTGAAGTGTTTGGTTCTGTTGATGATGGGGCAGTGTTGTCCTCATTTGCCTCCTTCACTTGACTCATTATATCTGCTTTTCTATTTGTCATGTTAATGACTTCTCCAGGAACAAGTAAGGGTTCTCCATCTTGATCTTCCTCAGCATTCTTCTCAAATGATGGATGAGATTCATCAAAAATAACATGGACGCTTTCTTCAACACATTGAGTTCTCTTATTATATATCTTGTAAGCCTTACTTTGAGAAGAGTAGCCAAGAAATATCCCTTCGTCACTTTTGGCATGACCTTACCAAGCTGATCTTTTCCATTGTTGAGAACATAACATTTGCATCCAAATGTTCTTAGGTAAGTCAACTTTGGTTTTCTTCCATTCAACAATTCATATAGGGTTTTGTTCAGACTTGAGATGATCATGCACCTGTTCACTAAGTAGCAAGCAGTGTTGACAGCTTCAGCCCAAAAGTTCTTTGCAAGTCCACTATCAATCAGCATTGTTCTTGCCATTTCTTCCCGAATTCTATTCTTTCTTTCTACTACTCCATTTTGCCGTGGAGTTCTGGGAGCTGAGAAGTTGTGAGAGATGCCATTTTCATTACAGAAATCATCAAATTTGACATTGTCAAATTCTGTCCCATGATCTGATCTAATGTACACAACTCTAGACTCTATCTTCACCTAGATTTTTTTCACAAAGGCCACAAATACTTCAACCGTTTCATCTTTTGTTTTGAGAAACAGAGTCCATGTGAATCTGGAATAGTCATCCATGATCACGAAAATGTATCTCTTTCATCCTCTACTTTGCACCCTCATAGGTCCACACAGATCCATATGCAAGAGCTCAAGCAGTTTTAAGGTGCTCGCATATCTTTTTGACTTAAAGGAGGACTTTACATGTTTTTCTCTGGCACATGCATCGCAGACCTTTTGAGTTTTGAATTGTGACATAGGCAAACCATGGACCAAGTCCTTCTGAATTAGTTTGTTCAGAAGGGAGAAGCTTGAATGGCCCAGTCTTCTGTGCCATAGTTCAGCATCATCGTCAACAACCTTCAGACAACTAAGATCACCACTCTGTAAGGATTTGAAATCAACAACATAGATGTTCTTGTATCTTTTGGCCACCAGGACTATTTCACCAGCCACAAGGTCAGTGATTGTACATATTTTGGACAAGAACTCCATTTTGTTTCCCTTATCACAAATTTGTGAGACGCTCAGGAGACTGTACTTAAGTCCATTGACATAGTACACATTTTCAATAGAGTGAGTGAGTGACTTCCCAACTTTTTCAACTCCAAGAATGTACCCCTTTTTGCCATTGCCAAAGGATACACTCCCTCCTTGCGGGGCTTTTAGTGAAAGAAAGTTTGTGGTGTTCCCAGTTATGTGTTTCGAACATCCACTATCTATGAACCATTGTTGACCACTTCCCTTCACTGTTCCCTACACAAGAAATTAGGAGTTAGTTTTAGTAACCCAAACAAGTTTGGGTCCCTTGTAGTAACCAAGATGATGAATAAGAGCTCTCTTAGTGCAAGCAGGTAATGTGCATTTTCTATGAGTGGAACCTGGTCCTTCTTTTGTGATCACAGTTTCAGCAGCCACTTTGTCTTTTGGGACTGATTGATTCTTAGCCTGGACACCTTCCTTGGAGTGCCCAGTGTTCCCACATTGGGTACGAGGCTAGTTGTCAGATGTAGTGGCGCTCTTATTGTGAGGGTTGTAAAGATCTTTCTTCCTTGGAAACCCTGCTCTCCGCCCTTTTTCACTGTTATTAGTGAGCAAGGTAGTGGTAGCCTCTACGGACCAGGTCCACTTTAGAGACTTTTCAAGATCATTCATTACTTTTTCTAGATTGGCTTGGAGGAGCTCATTTTTCTCAATTTCAGCACTCATCCTACATCTCAAGTCCTTCACCTCATCTTCAAGCCTAGAATATTCCTCACTTACTATCTCCTTTCCTCTTTCAGAGCTTTCAGGTTTTGACTCAGTCAAGATTAGTTCCCTGTGATCAGCAGTTTCTGCCAACAGATTAGTCTTTTCTTTTCTAAGAATTTCAATGGCCTTCTTTTGATCAGTGATTGCAGCCACTAAGTCTTTTCTAATATGTTCAGATTCTTCTAGTTCTAAGAACAAGAAATCCCTATCCTTCGCAAGACTACAAAAGGCAGTAATTAAAACATCAGCTAAACACATGAGTTTTTTTGGAGAATAGGATTTTAGATTTTTCTGAACATCCCTAAAGTTTACCTCTTCGTTGCCATTGTCTTCGCCATTATCTGATTGAGCCATCAAAGAAAGGGTTGAGTCATATCCAATCTTCTTGCCTTCAACTGCCATCGTAGAACTATCATCAGTATTAGATTTATCTTGCTTTACTTGTGTAGTTCCCTCATAGGCTATTTGCAAAGCCTCCCATATTTTCTTGGCAATGTCGCATGTAGATACTCTGTCGTACTCTTTAGGTTCCAAACCATATACTAGAATTTTCTTGGCACGGAAATTTTTCTCCATTGCTTTCTTTCCTGCTTCAGTGTATTCTCCACTGGTCTTTTTTTATTGAAAATGGAAATTCATTTAGTACCTTTATTGGAACAGACAGACCATCGCAGATAACATCCCAAAGCTCGCAATCCTCAGCCGCAATGAAATCATGCATTCTAGCTTTCCAACGCCAATAGCATTTTCCATCAAACTTGGGTGGGTGGTATATGGATTGACCTTCTTCAAGATTTAGTGGAGCCGTCATGAGGATCATTCCTAGGTGTTAACCTAATGGGAGGAACTTGCTCTGATACTAATTGTTAGCTTATATGGGTCCACCAAATCGTAGAGTACCTTGTCCTCTACAAGTTTCTGAGAGCACTTAGTAAAGCAGTAAGGAAATGAGGTAGAGGATTTTAACATGGAAAAATCCCGCACAAGGGGATAAAAAAACCAGGACCTACACCTGTAGGCTTTTAACTTTACTAACTTGTAATCTTACCTATTACAAGACACTTTACAATACTTCCTATTGCAAAGGATTTACTCAACTAACTTGTGGTACCTTTACCACAAGCCACTTTGTGACTATCCTAGTTACAAAGGCTTTTTCTAACTTGTGGTGCTATCACCACAAGACACTTTGTAATTCTACAATTACAAAGACTTTTCTTTATGACTAAATCTAGTCACAACCTAAACTCAACGAGTTTAAAGATTTACAAGAGGATTCCTAATTAGTATGCTTCTATGTAAGCGATTTAGGAGATATAGTAAGTACAATAACAAGGTTACAACTCAATAGGACAACAACAAACAATCATTTAGGAACTGGTCCGTAGTGGCTTTCAACCTTGTTCTTCAAGCTTGAGAGGATGATTTTTCTGTTTTTGAAAAAGGCTTGAATAAGAAACAGAAACCTTCCAGTGATGTCTTTGTATAAGGCTTCATCAGGTACATCTTGATCACATCACTTGAAGTAATGTGAGTGCTTTGTTTGGTTAGAAAATGAGTGGGCTGACTGTATATTGCAGTGTGGAAGAAACAGTGTCGTTAGTCACTTCAGTTCCAGCTGTGTCCAAATGACTCTGTACTACTACATAGGAACCATATGAGCATCAGGTCCTTGTTTGGTTCCTAGCTCCTGAATCTGTAGCAGTTCATCCTTAGCTGGGATCCGTTCTAGTTTGCAGCAATCCCTATCTGGTTCTTATCAATAAGTTTGTTAGATCATCAAAACATAAGGTAAGAGTATTTAAGATCTATCAAAAGGAAAATATTTGGAGGACTAGATCCATACGAGCATTCAGTGACATTTTTTCATTGAGCAGTCTTTTTTTAGGTCCTCCACTTGTTTCCTGAGATCAATGTTCTCCTTTGTCAGGATAGCAACTTCTTCGTTTTGAGAATGACCGGAACCAGGTGCCTCTTGCAGCTGACTTATCTGAGTCTCAAGGATAGCATTCCTTGCTTTTAATTACCTTATATTTGTAGTAGCACTGTTTTGAGCATTGATTAACTGAGAAATAGTTAAAGTGCTTGCAACCCCTCCAAAATTTTCTATAGACTCACATTCTTCACGAGTGCTTTTTGAAACAGTTTGCTTCTTGGCACCCAGTTTAACTGGTCCAAGAGGAACCTTGAAGTGCTTAAAGACCTTGGCAAGAAGGAATCCATATGGCAGCCCATGATTACCATCTTTAAAATCAGATACTTTGTTCATGTTCTCTATCATGATCCTAGGCAGATTGATGGTAGTAAAGTCATCTAGTGCTTCCATGAGGAACACGTCTGCACGAGTGGTGATGGATTGTCGCTCAGCTCGAGGCAGCAACACTTTGTTTATCATTTCAAATAGCAATTGGTAAACAGGAAAGAGGGCTTTCTTCTGAACACATTCCCCCTGCTGAACTACTCTGTCCTTCAAGATTGCATTTCGGAAGTTCTGAGTATAAACTACTTGAATACTAGATATCCCTTCAGTGGGCACACCGAGAATAGATCCCAGCAAAGTTGCATCTAATACCAACTCCATTCACCAAGGCAAAAGTGTGACCATCATATACCTTGTACAAGTCGGCATAAAAGCTTTGAACTTCCTCCTCATATACCCTAGCAGCATCACTTGTGAACAAGTGTGTCCATTGTTGGAAATTACGGATCTCAACCAACTGTCTCATACCAGCCTCCTCCAAGACATCAGAGGCAAATGTATGCCCCCATAGTACCTTTTGACTTCATAATCTTTCTTTCCAAGCACTCCCTGGATCATCAGCCTTGGCCTTCTTTGAGGAACTAGGTTCATCAACAGTATCAACCTTTCTCTTAGCAATCTTGTGGACACCTTTCTTCTTTTTATAAGACTTCATAGACTTTTTACCTAAGTCTTTCTTCACATTTTCAGTAGCAGCAACATCAACAGGCCTAGTCCGACATTTCGAAAACACAGAAGATCCCCCTTTTGGTTTAAGAAGACCATGCTTCTATGACAACTTCCTAGTCAACGTACTAGGTTCCTCCACTTCTTCTTCATCCACACACAGTCGGAACTGACTTCTCATTTACAACTTTGCCATCTTTCACTAATTGTCTCCCTTATAGACTCAACATCTAAATAAGGAGAGTGAGCGGGGTCAGTACTGACCTGGGGTTCTTGAGTAGGACTCGGAGTTAGATCCTTCAAAGGCGGATCAGGTCCTCCAACAGGTTTTCCAGTAGTACCTTCCTGTGCTGAAGGATCAACAGGCACATGCTCACTATCCTCCTCAACAGTCTCAAATGCTTCCCCCTAAGTCTTAAGACCATCCTCACTTCCTCCAACAAAAACCCCTTTATTGGCGATGGACATCATATTTTTGATTGCTTCATTTTCTTGCAGATTCATGAGAAGCTCAGGAGAAATAGGAGAGGCACTTGCGGACTGGGGTTCGGGAGCAGTCTTTGTTGAGTCAATGACTTTATTTCCCTCAACTTGGTATGCTTTGACTTTTCTTCTATAGGAGAACTTGAGATTTTTCGATTTTCTTCATTCTCAGCAATATTCATGACATCCCTTTTTTCTGGCGAGGTAAGAGATGAGCTCTAGGAAACACCTTCTGTGAGAGTTGATGCTTGGTGACTCTTGTGAAAGCAGGAACTCGAGTGGGTAGGAGAGGAGATGGAGTATGGTGGTGACTCTGTTCTAGGGTTTTGGTTATTAGTAGTGTGAGGAGGAGACACTAGTGTTGGTGTTTCGATTGGTGAGGACTCAATAGTACTAGAGACCGTTTGATCTTCAGCCATGGTGAGAAGATGAAAAGATTTGGTGAACTAAAGAGAGAGTGAATAGGGAACTGGGTTGGAAGTGTTGATGTGTGAAGTGTGGTGACAGAGATAGATGTATTTATGATGACAGTCCGAAATCTTCCAATTGTTGCTTGATCCACAAAAGTTCAGCACATTAAGAGGAAGATGCTATATATTCAGCTTATGCAGTTGAAAGTGGCACAGAATTCTACTTCCTTGTACCCCATGAGATTAAGCAGGAACCCAAGAAGTGTGCCATCCCAGATGTGCTTTTCCTGTCCACCAGATATCTAACATAATCAGCGTCAACATACCCAATAAGATTAAAGTTGTCTCCTGAAGGATAATAGAGGACCAGGTCCGGTGTACCTTTGAGATATCTCAGTATTCTCTTGGCAGCCTTTAGATGAGAT